ACGCGACAGGCAGGGCAGGGCGTCGCGCGGGTCCTAGGGCGACGCGACGGGCAGGGCAGGGCGTCGCGCGGGTCCTAGGGCGACGCGACGGGCAGGGCAGGGCGTCGCGCGGGTCCTAGGGCGACGCGACGGGCAGGGCAGGGCGTCGCGCGGGTCCTAGGGCGACGCGACGGGCAGGGCAGGGCGTCGCGCGGGTCCTAGGGCGACGCGACGGGCAGGGCAGGGCGCCGCGCTGGTCCTAAGGCGACGCGACGGGCAGGGCAGGGCGTCGCGCGGGTCCTAGGGCGACGCAGGGCAGGGCGTGCGCGGGGCAGCGCAACGCAGGGCAGGGCAGAGCGCGCGCTAGGCAGCGCAACGCAGGGCAGGGCAAGGCAGCGCGGCAGCCAGCAGGGCGGCGCGCGGGCAGGGTAACGCGACTGGTGGGGCAGCGCGACGAACACGGTAGGGCGCTACGGGTAGGGTAACGCGCTACGGGCAGGGAACGATTCGGTGGGCCCTAAAAAAAACGGTCCTAGGTCAGGACCTGCTCTGAAACCATGTCAGAATAATGAACGAGAATGGATGAACTAGCAGCATGCAGGAGTACAAGTAGCAAACCCTAATTGGGTTGTACCCCATATGGGCTACCCCACTACAGCCTACACAACATGCAGCATATAAGTTTGACACAGGATCGGCATCGGAAGCCTAAACTAGGGTGTTCAACAAAGCAGTAGGTTTAGGCAAGCACAACTATTTTCTCCCCGCTGAGGATAAGTCTAGGTAGGTCCGAACATGCGGTGCGTAAATTTCTATGCGGAAAATACCCGGGCAACTCGGTCAAATCGGGGCGACTAATCAAATGGGCGTAACCCTAAATACCTCGCAATCGCCAGAATCGCCCCAATTTGCTTCGGGCGTTATAACTTTACACGTCCTAAGGCATTTCAGTGCCATTTTCAATAGGATCCTCGCAGCTCAGTGTTACAGGTACACCACTATCCTGATTTCTCAGTGTGGGTATACGACCTATACTGAAAGTTCAGTCCTGATTTTGATCTTAATCTGTTTTTTCAGTGCTGACACCCCAGCGCTGTACTGAAATAAGCAAAATCATGATAAATTAGCCTGATAAAATAGGGCCTGTCGGTCACACCTGAAGCTCTCCGAAACTTGCACACCCTTCGCTTGGCAATCATCACTATCTGAAGACCCCATTCCGATTGCCTTCAACGTTCTGTTATATCACGAGTGTAGTGCTGAAATTTGTGCCAATCCTGTAGTACTAATATATACCGTAAGAGTTGTGGCACAAAAAACAGTCATAGTTACAAAAATGAAAAGAATTGTGGCACAAAAAGTATGTATAAGGCTATAACTGTGGCTTTACCATTGAAGTATTTCTATGTATAAAAAGAATCGTATTGTCAATAAACTGTTCACAAATTCTTATATGATGTATCAAACTTGACCGATATGAATTATATACAACAACCAGGACAAATTGTACTGTACATTGGAAGGAAATACCAGTTTTAGTCACTGCATCCAGGGGAGCTGATCAAACATGCAATACAATGGTTAGTCACCTCACTACTCCATTCTCCCACTCCGATGCCTTACCCTCACCACCACCCCATCCCCGTCTTGTGTACTTCTCCTCTCCTCCTTCCCTACCGCTTCCATGTTTGGCCCTTCACCGTTGTCAGACTGCGTTACACAGTTACTTGAAGCCCCACGCATAGAAGCTTAGAGGCATCAGATCAAGCCATCTGCCTAACCAACCCTCACTGGCCACCACAGGCAGGCCTTTTGAACGAGCGGGCTACAGGGCGAACCAAGGGGGGATGTAGTGAAGGGGAATCAGGAGATGGTTGACGGAGGGAAGGGTTGGTGACCAGAGCTGGATGATTGGGCGAAAACAGAGCAGGATTGAGGGAATGGGGTGGGGGGTTGGTGGGTAAAAGAGTAGGGTTTGTGTGAGCACTTGGAGAAGAAAGAGGTGAGAACAAGTGGGCAAGGCTGTTAGCTGGGGGATGGAACCCTCCTTGCAGTTGGTTCCAAGTCTGCTCTGTAGATGGTTGTGTATGTCGCTGCTGCTGCTGCTGCTGCTGCTGCTGCTGCTGCTGCTGCTGCTGTGATTGTTGCTGTTGCAGCAGCGGTTGTAGCTGCAGCAGCTGAAGCTGTAGCTGGGACATCTGCTGTTGGGAATTTTGCTGCTGCATCTGCTGCTGCTGCTGTGACTGCTGCAACTGCTGCTGCTGTGATGGCTGCAACTGTTGTGTCGGCAGTCGCTGGTGCTGTAACTGCTGCAACTGCTGCTGCTGTTGTGGCGCCTGCTGCTGCTGCACCTGCTTCTGGTGCTGTGGCTGCTGCTGCTGAAAATGCTGGTATGCCTGCATCTGCATCTGCCAGAAAGGATCAAGCGGTGCCACCTGGCTGCTCTGCAGCTCCGCAATTCGTACCTGCTGCTGCTGCTGCTGCTGTGTTTGATGGAGTGTAGATTGCTCTACAATGCTGAAGTGGCCAGGTGTGGGTTGGCGCATGTTGCTGACGTGGCTGAGCCAGTTAGGCGCTCCTGATGGGGGAACCTGGCCAGCCAATGAAGGCACGAGAATGCTTCCAAGAACCAGCAAATGAGCAGGTGCCACGTGTCCCTGAGACATAGTCTCAGCTGCTAGACCTGATGTTGGAAGTGTTGCAACAGAAGCTGCTGCTCCTGCTGCTCCTGCTGATACTCCTGCTGCTGCTAATCCTCCATTGCCCCCTATCGCGGTTGCTACAGATACAAATGCCCCGGCTGCTTCTGCCGAGATTCTAGCTCCTGATGCTGATACCCCTGCTGCTGCTGATGAAACTCTAGCCACTGCTGCTGATTCCCCAGCTGCTGCTCCTGGTGCTGCTGCTGCTGCTGTTGCCGCCGCTGCTGGTGATGTAGCGGCAGCAGCAGCAGCAGCCGCCGCAGCTGACAATGCTTCTGTAGGAGGATGGTGGGACTGAAGGCGATATTTCTGTGTGCGGAAGTGAAGTTAGGAAACGTGAGTTGGGATGAGTTATCAGGGTGAGATGGCGCTGTCTTGTAAGAACGAAATGATAATCAAGAAGCATAACAAAATCTAAGAAAAAAAAAGTTGTTGAGCAATTAGAGAGGTGGGCCACAGTGCAGAGTGGTGGAGCAGGAATGCGCATGGGTGGAAAGTGGTTAGAGAAAGCTATTACCTGCAGATGACTCTTGATCTCGTCGCTTGTTAAGCCATCGACTTTCATTAGCTCCTTAATCTGTTTCGGCGTAGCCACTGTAAGGAGAAATGGATTTCGGGGGAATAAAGACGAGCGAGCAAATGAACAACTGACACAAAGCATCGTGCACATGTGTGTAGCAAGGATGATGCGCGCTGTCTGCAATCTAGTGTGAATCAAGTATGATGAAGCGGCCATATACGCACCATAGCAGCCACCGAGCCTTTCCAATGCATCTAAAAATTGCTTGTGAATATCCGGCGACCAGCACCGTCGCTGCTTCCTCCCTCCACGTAGCCTTCCTGAGACACCTGCTGTGTCACCTTGACGGCTCCCACTGTGACCTCCCCCACCGCTGCTGCTGCAACCAACACCACTTTTCCTGCGCCTACCATTGCCACTCCCACTCCCAGTTCCACTTCCCCTGTGTCTGCCACTCCCACTTCCGCTGCCCCCACCACCTTGGCCACTGCCGTTGCCACTATAACCACCACCACTATCAGCACCACCATCACCATCATTACTTGCATCACCACCCTCACTACCACCATCACCACCATCATTAACAGCACCACCCTCACTACCACCATCACCACCACCACCACTGCCGCTATCACTACCATTGTGGCCATCACTCTTTGCACCATCCTTACCCCTAGATAACAATTCCCCACCACTCTGAACTCTCTTTGGACTCTCTGTCCTGGCCCTCTTGATACCACCCACCTTCTTTCCCTCCTTCACCTTTGCCCTTCTGTCAATATTCATTGCTTTCTCACCTCCATTTTCTATCTTCCTTTTGCCCTCACAGGACTTCCCTCTGTGACGCTCCCTCCCATTAGTAGGTACTGCTTTGGTGACGCTTTTAGCCGAACGTTTATGCTCGCGTGGAGTATTCCTCTCCCTCCCTCGGCTGCTGTCTCCTCCAGCAGTAGCCTTTCCTTCCGAAACACTGTCCCTCCATTTATGCTCGCGTGGAGTATTCCTCTCCCTCCCTCGGCTGCTGTCTCCTCCAGCAGTAGCCTTTCCTTCCGAAACACTGTCCCTCCATTTATGCTCGCGTGGAGTATTCCTCTCCCTCCCTCGGCTGCTGTCTCCTCCAGCAGTAGTTTTTCCCTCCGAAGCGCCCTCCTTCTGGTTCCTCCTTCCTGGTTCCCTTTCCCGTTGCCCCTCCGTCACAACCTCGGGTTGTTTCTTTGTGCGTGTATTTGACCCTGTGCAACCGCTGCCAGCTACCTTGCAAGTTGTGCCGCCTCCTGTACCAAAGTTTGACTCGGTACCTGATCCTGTACCTGCTGCTGCTGCACCTGCTGCTGCACCTGCTGCTGCTTTTCCTGCTGCTTCTGCACCTGCTGCTTCTGTATCTGCTGATGCTGCTACTGCACCTGCTGCTGCACCTGCTTCTGCTGCACTTGCTGCTGCACCTGTTCCTGTTAAACCTGCTGCTTCTGTATGTATTGCTTCTGCATCTGCTGCTGCTGCACCTGCTGCTTCCGCACCTGCTGCTTCCGCACCTGCTGCTTCTGAGCCTGCTGCTGCTGCTGCTGCTGCACTTGCTCCTGCACCTGTTGCTGTTGAACCTGCTCCTTCTGTGCCTGCTGCTGCTGCACTTGTTGCTGCACCTGCTGCTGCACTTGCTGCTTCTGCACCTGCTGCTTCTGTACCTGCCTCTACACCTGCTTCTGCTGCTTCCATGTTATCTCCTTCCAGCACCTCAGTTTCTCCAAACTCGTCATCTCCTCTACCTTGATCACTCCTAGCGTGCCCTTTGTCACGCCTGTTTACGTCACTGCCACAAGAGGAGGAGACAGTGAGCCTGCGTTGCATGCCACCTGCTGTGGCTGCAAGAGGAGCAGCACCAGGGGTGGCAGATGTGACAGGGTTTACAGCAGCAACTGCAGTAGTGTGCCCTCTGATACAGTCACTCCTGTTTGCGTCAATACCACAAGAGGAGGAGATAGTGAGCTTGAGTTGCATGCCGCCTGGTGTGGCTGCAAGAGGAGCTGCAGCAGAGGGGGCACGTGTAACTGTGACAGGGTTTACTCCAGCAGCTGCGGTAGTAGCAGTGGCAGCAGTAGCAGCAGCAGCAGCGACGGCGGCGGCGGCGGTAGCGCCGGCGGCAGCAGGGACAGCAGCAGGAGCAGGAGGAGCAGGAGCAGGAGCAGGAGCAGTAGCAGCAGCAGCAGCAGAGGGTGACGCAACAGGGCATGCAGCATTAGATATCGCAACGCCAACAGCAGCCGCAGCAGCAGTCCTTGCAGCAGCAGTGCCTGCTGCCACCACAACGCATGTTGCTGCACTCTCCCTCGCTCCCACCTCCCACAGCCCACCAAGCTCCCGACCCCACTCCCTCATCTCTGTGCGATGACTGTCACTAATCCCCACTGCCCCAAATCTCTTCGCTCTATCCCTTTTCTCCCTTTTCTCCGTTCTGTCCCTTCTCTCATCATCAATCCCGACCTCCCTCCCTTGCTCCTTCCCAGACTCCTCCCCATGCTCTTGCCCCGCTTCCTTCTCATGCCGTGCACTGTCCCTTTCCTCCCTTCCCACCCTTCCTGCCCTTCCCTCCCACTCCGCCCTCTCCTCCTCCTCCACCTCCTCCATCTCCTCTCCGGCACTCTCTCTCATGCCACAATTCCCAAGACCAAGTGCCAACTGCATTGAACAAACTGGCTCGCACATTCGCCTCTCACAGCATCTCTTTCCCACCTTCTCCCATGCCTCCATCAGCATGCCATACTTATCCGCATGACCATGCTCATCTGCATGACCATGCCCATCCACATGACCATGCCCATCCGCATGACCATGCCCATCCACATGACCATGCCCATCCACATGACCATGCCCATCCACATGACCATGCCCATCCACATGACTATGCCCACCCACATGACCATGCCCATCCACATTACCATGCCCATCCGCATGACCATGCCCATCCACATGACCATGCCCATCCACATTACCATGCCCATCCACGTGCCCATGCCCATCCACGTGCCCATGCCCATCCGCACCACCATTCCAATACACATCAACATCCCCATCCCCACTACCCCTCCCAACATCACCACCATCATATCCACCTTCCTTCAACCCCTCCTTTTCTTCCACTCTCGCTCTCTTTCTCGTCATCTCCTCATCCTTGCAATGCTCAATAGATCCTCTACCCTTGCATGGATACATCATTTTAGGCCCCTCAAACATAGACTCCTCTTCTACTCTCGCTCCCTTTCTCGTCGCCTCCTTGTCCTCACACTGCTCAATAGATCCCCTTCCCTTGCATGGCTCTGTACTAAGGAGCTGAAGCTGAACTCTATCCCCTTCACACTCTCCCCTCATGGCCCTCCCTTTTATGCCACCCATCCCTGGACCCTGCAACTGAGTGCTCAACATCTCAATCTGCCAACCTTCTCTGTTTCCCTTTGACAGCCGTTCCTGTTGTGCTTCCTCTGCTCTGTGATCTCCCTGCAAGCCATCACGAAGCTGTCTCTTTGCCGGATAATCCCTCTGATCTTCATGATCCTGTTTGATCGTCTTATCTTCACGCTTTTCCATATCATCCCTCTGATCAAACAGCGATCCCACATTCGGAGCCTCCGAATCACCCCTCTGATCTCCGTCATCCTGTTTGATCATCGTATCTTCACCCTTTTCTACATGATCCCGAGCCTCCGAATCACCCCTCTCATCTCCATGGTTCTGTTTGATAGTCTCGCCTTCACGCCCTTCCAACTCATATTGGGCCTCCAAATCGTGTGCCTCTACCAACTCTCTGCTTCCCATCTCTTTGATACCTCTTGCACCTTCCTCCCTCTCATCCCTATCACCCCGCTGTAGTGCATCTATGCGGCTTTGTGTTTCGGTAATGGCTGCCAGAAAAGGGAGTCACGGGGAGGAGGGGGGCAGAAATGCAAGGGTGAATAGATTGCATCAACAACTGTGATTCAAACGGGGTGTCAATCGAAGAACTAGTATTGTCATAGGCCAGAAGGAACATCAGAAGGAGTGCAAAGATCTGGATTGTTGAGGGAACAGGAAGATCAAATGACAAACAGAACGATAATGGGTACGTGAGAAAGAGGAGGAAGAGGGAGAGGAGGAGGGAAAGGAGGAGGAGGAGGAGGAGGAGGAGGAGGAGGAGGAGGAGGAGGAGGAGGAGGAGGAGGAGGAGGAGGAGGAGTGGGGGGGGGAGGAGGAGGAGGAGGAGGAGGAGGAGGAGGAGGAGGAGGAGGAGGAGGAGGAGGAGGAGGAGGAGGAGGAGGAAGAGGAGGAGGAGGAGAAAAGGAAGATGAAACATGGGTGGGGGGAGATGGAGAAGGATGGGAAATGGGAGAGAGAGGTGGGAGAACAAATGGTGGGGGTGAGCGGTGGAGGAGAACGAGGTGTGGCTGTTTGTAACCATTTTTTGTTTTTGAAAGGCGTACCAAGTCAAAATCCCAGTGGCAACAGTGGGAAAGAAAAAAGGCAGCAGCAGCAGCAGCATCAGCATCAGCAGCAGCAGCAGCAGCAGCAGCAGCATCAGCAGCAGCAGCAGCAGCAGCAGCAGCAGCAGCAGCAGCAGCAGCAGCAGCAGCAGCAGCAGCAGCAGCAGCAGCAGCAGCAGCAGCAGCAGCAGCAGCAGCAGCAGCAGCAGCAGCAGAGGCGGCGGCGGCGGCGGCGGCGGCGGCGGCGGCGGCGGCAGCAGCAACGGCAGCGGCAGCAATAGCAACAGCAGCTGGCGGCAGCAGCAGCAGCAGCACCACCACCAGCAGCGGCAGGGGCAGTGGCGACAGCGACGGCGGGAACGGAAGCGGCAGCACCAGTGGCAGCGGCAGCGGCAGCAGCAGCAGCAAGGGCAGCAACACCAGCAATATTGGGGGTGTCACCACCAGCAGCAGCAGCAGCAGCAGCAGCAGCGGCTGCGGCTGCGGCAGCGTCGGCGGCGGCAGCGGCGGCGGCGGCAGCAGCAGCAGCAGCGGCGGCAGCAGTGGCGGCAGCAGCTGCAGCAGCAGCAGAAGCAAAGGCAGCAACACCAGCAACATCGGGGGTGTTATCATCAGCAGCAAAAGCAGCAATCCTACTAACTGCACAACCGGCAGAAGCAAAAGCAGCGACCGCAACTGCACAACCAGCAGCACCAGTGATAATTACCTATTCATACATACATCTGCGCACATATACATATACATATCATCATGCATGTGTGAGTGTACTACTACACGGGCTTACATGCACTAGTGTGACTGTCCATGTGTATTCTTATTGGTGCAAGCATTTTCACAGGTGCATGCATTTGAATTCCAGGTGAGAGAACAGGAAAACACACACGAATGTGAGTGTCTGTGACAACAAAGACAGGGTGAGAGTGAGAGGGGGAGAGGGAGAGAGAGAGGGAGAGAGAGGGAGGGAGAGGGAGTGAGGGAGATTGATTTTGATGAGGATTATTCTGGGTTGAAAGACAAGGATGAGCATTATTCTGGGTTGTTTACAATGTTTATGTGCCCCTCAAAACCCCATCTCTTTTCCTCTCTAAGAGTGATTGCACAGTGTGCATTTCCAATATTACGATTAGCACGAAAACGCGGAGAGAAGAAGGAGTGGAAGGAGAGAAGGAGAGATGAAGATAGAAAAGAAGGGATGGAAGCTGGAAGATCTAGATGGCCTATTATAAAACAAAGAAGACAGAGAGGGGGGGGCTCTGAACTTTCTGGGACAGAGAGACACGGAATCTCATATCTTTCAATTACCATTGTCAATAAGATCTGAGCACAGAGGCAACTCCCTCTTAAACATCAAGACCTTCACTCTCTCCTCTTGAAGCCTCTTCAAGTATTCTTTCAACTCTTCCATCTTATCTTTATGGAAGAAGTCGAATCACCATAAAAGGCCTAATGAACAAGTAGTGTATGGGACAGAATAATGTAGTAGATCTGGAAACCCCTCAGAAGTCGTTCCATGGTATGCATGCAAGCCAATTCCTCCTGCTCAGCAGGTTTAGTTTCCACTGCTGGCTGAGTGTTAGTAGCAGAGGGAGCCTTTGGGCAGGGGGGTTGGGATGGTATGGCACCAAGCTTCAACTTGTTCAGCCGGAGGGTTGGGTTGGGAAACCAACACCTACACTTTGGCGACCTTTCGGGAAACCCTAGGGTTCGTGGGTTACCTGGTTTGGCAACCTCGAGATTCGCGCTGGATACGACACCAAGGCTGGGTGAAAAAATCACGCGAAATTTCGACAGCCCCAAACCTGATGCCGAACCGAACCGAACCGAACCGAACCAGCTGCGTGGCTGCCTGTTACCGTATCCCCGTCCACATCGCCGATGAAAATGTTTTAGCGGCCGCTTGTCGCCACGCGAATATTCAATGACGTTGAAGGCAGCCTGTTGTGGTCGTAGTTCCATTGCTGCAGTAAAAGTTGAGCCAATCGCGCTGGCTTGGATATGTAGTAAACGACCAACCGCCTCCTCTCAAGCCAGTAGGATTCGATGTGTACTCTCACAGCGCACCTAAGTATTTCTGGTTAGTGACAGGATGACCATCATAAATCAGGGGGTAGTATGAATCGTTTCTCCTTCCCTATTTTTTTCGGGAACTTGAACGAACGGCTGGATCCATCACGTGGAGCTCAGTCGCTCGCTCTGGATGTCACACTGGAAGTGTATTATCGGGATATGATACTCGTCAAATCATGTTGGAATAATGCGTTGTCGCGTAGTCCAGGCAGGATCAAGGGAATCCTGTCAAAACAAGCTTGCGCGGCACAAGGAACCAGCGTCACGAAGGAGAATCAATGCCCGACGGACGGGAGTGCCCTTGCTGACTTGGACGCATCTTCTTGGCCATTCAACGAATATTCCCTTATAAGTATCCATCGTAGAGGTCCCACGTTACAGCATGCTGCTATATGAGTGAAAACACTATGCAACTGCTACAACTACTAACATCAGTGGTCCAAACCAGTATCTTGCTTGAAACATTGACTTCAACCCCCAGGGACCGGCCCTTGAATTCTGAGTGGTCAATCCGATTCCACCTCAATGCCTAAACATATTGCACTAGCTAGCTACACTGGAATTCAAAACATTATGCAACATTTTGATTACCCAAATCAGCATGAACACATGTGCGTCTCGATACTTTCTCATGCGCACAGAGGTTATCAAACGGATAAAGAAAAGCCATAGTGACATGACAATGCAATTGATCCTCCCTTGTAGGAACCCAAATTGACTCTGCTCCTCCCAAGGAAAACCTGCCCCGCACCCGCTGCTCTTCACCTCCAAAAATATATGAATCCTAGAAAATCAGACACACGGCCTAGCCATCAGATCATGGGGAGGAAGGAGGGGTGACAGGCTTCTTCACTCCGTCCCCAGTCAGCAAGTCCTTGGGGAAGACGTTGTACGGCTCGGGGTACAGCAGCTGAGTCTTGCCCTGCGGAGGGGGAGCAGAGGAAGGAATAGAAAAAGAAGGGAATAGACAAGGGAAAATGAGATGTCAGGGCATTGGAAAGTGTAGGCTGGTATGCTTGGAAGGTTGCAGTTCAAATAAAATTATACAAGACAGCCGCATCGAACCGATGTGGTGTGCAAATTGCTGCATGTTCACAGCCACATAGAGCAGTTGAGCAGTGGGGTGGTGGTGGTGCGTTTCTCAAGGCTCCCTCCAGAATCATTACTGTACACCAACATATTGACTAGCCTACCTCCAGATAGCGGTTGAGCAGCGTGGTGGTGCTGCAGTTGAAGCCATCAATCGCCTTACCTCATAAAGTCACACCATTTGCAGTCACACCATTCACAGCGCCAACAAAACACTCACCTCCAGATAGCGGTTGAGCAGCATGGTGGTGCTGTAGTTAAAGCCCTCAATCGTCTGGCCCTTGGTGCGACAGGCGTTCATCTGAGCGCGCACTCGAGAGGCCAGTACCTGTGGGTGGGAGAATACACGGGAAAGGAATGCAGGAGACGGGCGTGGGCAACTTGGGTGAGCGGGGTTGCCGGAAGGAATGAAGCGACGGTGCATTCAGCATGTGAGAGGCGAGCACCTGGCGGGATTTCCACGTCCCATTAGAAGAACGAGATGAGGATGTTTTGTGAGATGACACAAGGCACACAGGGAAAGCCTTCAACATAGGGATCGGTTTATGGAATTCAAAAGTGTTCCACGCCCCATTGGTCGACGATGTTGTGACGTGAGATGCCACAAGGCACACAGGGGAAGGCAGGGAGGGGACGGCACCCTCATGGTCAGGCGCCGATGACAAAACATCGTTGACCTGACTACACTCTCCAAAGCCAGGTCAGTGCAGAGGGCTTGGGCTCATTAAGGTAAAAGATTCAGGTTTTTTGCAAGTCCAAAAAAACATAAGGTTGAGGGTGAAAGGTTCAGGTTTCGGGGTTTACTGTGCCGAGCTTTTACACCCCATTGGTTGAATGAGTCAATGCCAATGTTGAGGGCTTAGGGTTAAGGGTTAAAGGGTCAGGGTTAGAATTTTACCTTGCCGAGCTCCACGCCCCATTGGTCGAACGAGTTGATGCCCCACACAAAGCCCTGCACCGCCACCCTGTTCTCGTACAGCGATAGCAGCTGATGGTGGGAAGAGGGGTGAAGAGGGGTTGAGGGAGGCAGGGGTGGAGATGCAAAGATTGGAGTTCATGGTTTGTCTACTGCATTGGAACGAGTTGATGCCCCCCACACGAAGCCCTGCACCGCCACCCTGTTCTCGATAGCGATAGCAGCTGATGGTGGGGAGAGGGGTGAAGAGAGCAGAGAGGAGGTTGAACGGTGAGCGAGGTAGGGTAAGGGGTGATAGAGGTAGGATTAACAATGAACGAGGGCTAAAACGCATTGGGGAGCAGCTTAAAGGACATCTTTCCCCCACCCTGTGGGACTGCTCCACTGTAGAAGGTGTGAGTGAGCTAAAATCGTCTCTTACCTGCCCCACTGCGTAGGGTGTGAGCTATGGCAGTGAAGGTGATTATTGAGTCAGCTAAAATATTTCCCTCTGTCTGACTGCTCCTCTGTACAGGACGTGAGCTAAGACCGTCTCTTACCTGCCCCATTGTCTAGGCTTCTGCAGTACCTCAAAAGCTACGATCGTCTCTTACCTGCCCCACTGCGTAGGGTGTGAGCTATGGCAGTGAAGGTGATTATTGAGTCAGCTAAAATACTCCCTCTGTCTGACTGCTCCTCTGTAGAAGGTGTGAGCTAAGATTGTCCCGTACCTGCCCCACTGCGTAGGGTGTGAGCGATGGCAGGAGGATGCTGAGCGACGGCCTGTTGCCAGTGAAGGTCTGAAGGGGGGGAAGTGGGGGAAGGGGGAGCGCGGAGTGGGGGGAAAGGGGACAGAGAGGGAAACGAAGTGGGTATGTGGTGTGAGCGATGGCAGGAGGATGCTCTGTTGCCAGTGAAGGTCTGGCGGCAAGGGAGGGGGGATGGGGTCAGGGGGGGAAGGGCATGTGGTGTGAGCGATGGCAGGAGGATGCTCTGTTGTCAATTGCCAGTGAAGGTCTGGCGGCAAGCGAATGGGTGGGGTTAAGGGAGATGGAGGAGGAGGGGAATGGGTGTAGGAGAGGATTTTTTTAGGCGCCTCAAAAATGGAGGAGGAGGGGAATGGGTGTAGGAGAGGACGGAGAGAAAGAGAGGAGGCAAGGAAGAGGTGGGTACGCAAACTGAGACGGTGGAAGGTCTGAAGGAGTGGGGACGGGGGACAGAGAGAAGGGA